CAGTGAGGGGGAAAAATATTTGATCCCCTGCTAAATTTGCCCCATTGCCCTCTGACAAAGAAATGACCAGTCCATAATTTTAATGGTAAGTTTATTGTAGCTGTGAGAGACAGAAGAACAACAACAGGAAAACACCCAGAAACCCAGAAGACAAAAGTCAGAGATTGATGTGCATTATAACGAGTGACATAAGTATTTGATCCCCTTTGCAAAAGATGACTTAGTACCTGGTGGCAAAACCCTTGTTGGCAATTACAGAGGTCAGACGTTTCTTGTAGGTGGCCACCAGGTTTGCACACATCTCAGGAGGTATTTTGTCCCACTCCTCTTTGCAGATCCTCTCCAAGTCAGTAAGATTTCGAGGCTGATGTGTAGCTACTCAAACCTTCAGCTCCCTCCACAGATTTGCGATGGGATTAAGGTCTGGAGGCTGGCAAGGCCACTCCAGGATCTTAATGTGCTTCTTCTTGAGCCACTCCTTTGTTGCCTTGGCCATGTGCTTTGGGTCATTGCCATGCTGGAATACCCATCCTTGACCCATTTTCAATGTCCTGGTTGAGGGAAGGAGGTGCTCACCCAAGATTTGATGATACATGGTCCCATCCATCTGCTAAGGGGATGCAATGAAGGTGTCCTGTCCCCTTAGCAGAAAAACACCCCCAAAGCATAATATGTCCCCCTCCATGTTTGATGGTGGGGATGGTGTTCTTGGGGTCGTAGGCAGCATTCCTCCTCCTCCAAACACGGCGAGTTGATGCTGAAGAGCTCGATTTTGGTCTCATCTGACCATAACACTTTCACCCAGTTCTCCTCTGGGTCATTCAGAGGTGCATTGGCAAACTGCAGACGGGCCCGTACATGTGCTGTCTTGAGCAAGGGGACCTTGCGGGCTCTGCAAGATCTCAGTCTTCATGGCGTAGTGTGTTAGGTCAGCGGTTCGAATCCCCACGACAGACAGAGTGAGCTCCCGTTGTTCAGTCCCAGCTCCTGCCAACCTAGCAGTTCGAAAGCATGTCAAAGTGCAAGTAGATAGATACCGCTCTGGCGGGAAGGTAGACAGCGTTTCCGTGGGCTGCTCTGGTTCGCCAGAAGCGGCTTAGTCATGCTGGCCACATGACCCGGAAGCTGTACGCCGGCTCCCTCAGCCACTAAAACGAGATGAGCGCCACAACCCCAGAGTCGCCTGCGACTGGACCTAACGGTCAGGGGTCCCTTTACCTTTACGGTCCCAGCTGCCCTGAGATCATTGACAAGTTCCCCCCGGGTAGTTCTGGGCTGCTTCATCACCGTTCTCATGATCATTGAAACTCCACGAGATGAGATCTTGCATGGAGCCCCAGACCAAGGGAGGTTGACAGTTATTTTGCGTTTCCCCCATTTGCGAATTATTGCACCAACTGTTGTCACCTTCTCACCAAGCTGCTTGGCAATAGTCTTGTAGCCCAGTCCAGCCTTGTGCAGGTCTATACTCTTGTCCCTGACATCCTCGGACAGCTCTTTGGTCATGGTGGCTACTTTGGAATCTGCTGGATTGATTGCTTCGGTCGACAGGTGTCTTTTGTACAGGTACTGTAACGAGCTGGGATTACAGGTAAGACCTCTCCCTTACAGCAGGTGCTTCTAATCTCAGCTCGTTAAATACAGTGAAGATACCAGGTAGCCTGACATCTGGCTGGTTGATAGGGGATCAAATACTTATTTCACTCATTATAATGCACATCAATCTCTGACTTTTTTCTTCTGGGTTTCTGGGGTTTTCCTCTGTTGTTATTCTGTCTCTCACAGCTACAATAAACCTACCATTAAAATTACGGAGTGGTCATTTCTTCATCACAGGGCAAACGGGCAAATTAAGCAGGGGATCAAATACTTCCCCCCCCTCACTGTATGGGAAGGGAATCAGATATTCAGGATTTCGTTGTCATAAACTGTTGCAGCACCTTCAAACAAAAGGTAACACTAGGTTATTTTGCAAGATTGGCGTAACCCTCGCTCTCTCACCTATGGGTCCCCTCAAATAGGGGCGAAATAGCAATGAATGTTATGTTATCAGCACTATAATAAACTTTTTAAAATGAAAAATGTTTACAAACTCAGAGCGGGGGAATCACATTTTGCTGCATGAAATAAGACCTAATTTCCTAGACCTCTTGCTTTTGAGGTGAGATATTACTGCCCCATCACAGCTCTCCGAAAATCCTGGATACCTGTTTTGTTCTTCTTCGATAGGACAGCAAATTTCTCCAGCAGTTTAGAAATTTCCCAATTGCCTGGGATAGCTCAGCCGGTACAGCATGAGACTGTTTAATGTTAGGGTGGTGGGTTCAAGTCCCACGTTGGGCAAAAGATCCCAATCAGATTAAAATAAAAGGCTTTAAATTGAAGTGGGGACCAGAAAACTCCTTGTCTAAAGCCTAGGCAATGGGTGTGTCACTTTCTGTTTAATTGGCAAGATCTGCTTTCCCAAACGCCAATCACAGTTATGACTTTGTTCATTGGCTGAAGATGTGAAAGAGGCAGGAGCGGGCAACTTTCTCACGAAAGCAGACGGAGAAAACAAATTCCTAAGAGAGGGTGAAAATTAATAAAAGAGGGGGAAATAAATTGCATGGATGCAGGTACTCCTCCCACCCAGCTCCCAGGGGCTGGGAGCATTCATAGTACCTGGAAATATAAATATTAAAAAGCTGTTCTTATGCTTCCACCCTGCCAAGTCCATCTTGCCTTGAAAAACTTCACTCGCTCACATTTGCACATTATTCTTGCATTGCAGGGGGGTTGGACTAGATGGGGAGGGGGTCCCTTCCATCTCTAGGATTCCAAGCTCAAGAGGCACAAAAGCAGCCAAGGCCAAGACAGGTGCTTTCCTCTGGTTCCCCCTGGTCTGTTTGCAAATTTGCAACGCTATTGTGCGGCTGCCGCAAGCTGTGGTGCCCTGTCGTCTCCATCGGCACAATGGGCAGAAGACAGCCTTCAGTGCCCTGCTGCCTGGAGGGCATAGCAGAGGCCCTGTTGTTACCTGGATCTCACCTGGGATGTTCAGGGAACCGCGAGAATCTTAAATTGCTCCCTTCCCTCCTCTCTACTCGGGAAAGTAATGCCATCTGCCTTTTTTTACTGCTGGGCTGGGCTGCCACATTACCCTGCGAGACACCAAAAGCCATTATTAATTTTATTGGCCTTTTTTATTCCTTTCCTCCCTCCCCTTTTTCCTCTAGACGAAGCGGGCCTGCCAAGCCCTGGAGGTTGCAGCTAAGGCGGACTTCTTACGCAAAGCAAGGTTGCCACAGTCATCCTTTTCCCCAATCTGTCCTCTCCTCCCGAAAGCCCCTCCAAAGGTGTGCTTGGCATTGTTCCTTGCCCCATCTAATTAGTGGACCACTCAGCAAGGCAATTGTGCATGGCTGGAGGCTACTGATAAGCAAAACGGGGCTCCTTTGTTTGCTGAGAGAGAGCTTCACAATGAAATCAACAATTTAGAAGGGAACCCCTGCCCAGCCTTTGCCTTCCTGCTGCCAGATCATCACCTCGTCATCTACCTAGTGATTAAATATGGCTCAGATCCAAGGCTAAAGTGGGAACTCCCCGGCCTCAAAACTTTTTGACAGGATCACACTTATCCTATGCCCCAGAGAGAGAAATAAAATAAAATGTTTCACTTATTGTTAGGACCTTCACCCAATGAAAGGAATCTCCTATTTGGCTGATAACATGGACACTTAGCCAAGCAATGGAAGGCATTTGCATACATCTGCATATGAGTAAATCCATTGTCCTGATGCCAGGAACAAGTGTGCTTTGCCAGTAATGTGATGCTTGCAATCTGTTGGATTCTGAAAGATTGCATACACATGGAAAAATATGGTATACACTTTTTTTTTTAATCTGGGGCACCCTTTCAGAAGGTGAAAGGTTTAAACTGATTACCTGATTAGTCAAATACACATTCTAGGCCTACTTTTTATTATTATTAAAGATTTTCTTGATTTACAAAAGTGTGTGCAATGTCTCTCTTGTATCCCCCCCCCATGTGACAATTTTACAAATCAGTTTCATTTTTTGGGACATTAGGAAGAAAAGGGGGAGAGAGGGGGAGGGGGAGAGGTGAGTGGGGTGGGGTGGCAATGTTTCTATTTTACTTACTATATGTAGGGTTTGGTGTCAGTGTTGCTTGTGCAGGTTCTCTGCTGTTCACTTGTGTTCCTTTGGTGGTGAGAGAGGTTGGGGTTGGCCTAGGGTGTGGTTGTTCATTTGTGGTTGGCTGTGGTGGACTTTGTTTTCCTGTGTGAGTGGGGTGGGTGGGTGTTTTGGATCAGATTAGCCATATTGATTTGTATGCTGCTGGTGCTGGAGGAGACTCTGGAGAGTCCCATGGATTGCAAGAAGATCAAACCTCTCCATTCTGAAGGAAATCAGCCCTGAGTGCTCACTGGAAGGACAGATCGTGAAGCTGAGGCTCCAATACTTTGGCCACCTCATGAGAAGAGAAGACTCCCTGGAAAAGACCCTGATGTTGGGAAAGATGGAGGGCACAAGGAGAAGGGGACGACAGAGGACGAGATGGTTGGCTACCAGCATGAGTTTGACCAAACTGTGGGAGGCAGTGGAAGACAGGAGTGCCTAGCGTGCTCTGGTCCAGGGGGTCACGAAGAGACGGACACGACTAAACAACAACAACAAGACTCCTCCAGGAAACTCCATTTCAGAGGAAGGGCCGTAGCTTGGTGGTAGAACACCTGCTTTGCACGCAGAAGGTCCTGGGTTCGATCCCCAATGGCATCCCTAAACGGGCCCGAAATTCCAAAGAGCTGCTGCCAGCCCGTGTCGACAACACCAACCTTCGACAAACTTAAAAGTCAGCTTCCTGCGTAAATTCCCTCAGATTCGAAACAAGCAGCCTCGTTCGCGTCTCCAAGAGTTACGAGAGAATGTTCGAGGACACCCCGGTTCTCGAAACCCACCCACCCCCTTTCCCGCTCTTAACAAAGGAAGCTACCTACCATGCTTGCGGCCTGCACCCCGTTGCGACTGCTTCAGAGGGGGGTACCTCTCCCAGCCTCGCCCGAGCAGCCAGACCCTTTGTCTCCGCCAGAATATCCCCCGTGCTTTTACGATAGCTCTTTCTGCCGGCATCTCCCGGATCTGTTGGTACACGTGCGGGATCCGGAGGTGCAGAGGGCAGCAGGGTTACTTACCTGCGCGATTCTGCAGAAAGAGAGAGAGAGAGAGTGAGTGGAGAGAGAGAAAAGGAGAGGGAGGGTTGCAGCTTGCTCAGTTCGTGTCGTGGCTCGAAGATTCAAGAGGAGACAGGAAGGGGACATTGCTGGTATTTCGTCTATATTCAATAAACACACAAGACGTAACCGGCTGTACGTCTGACAAAATAATATAGACTATTCATTGTATTGAATTGTAAATTTCAACAGAAGTAACTCATAAAGTTCAGCGAAAAAAAGTAAAAATTTTGTGTCTGTTGATTGCCAACACCTGTTACTTGAATCAATATTGTGCTTGTCCATGTAACTCTACTCTGTAAAAGTTGCTACTACTATGCTACTACTATGCTATAAGTTCCACTGTCCTGAGATATCATATATGGTATGTACGGTTGCTGACTTTTTAATGTTAATTTTGCTGTGAAAATGTGCGAGATTGGGCTTGCCGATCAGGAAGGTTGGCGGTTCGAATCCCCGCGACGGGCTGAGCTGCCATTGCTCGGTCCCTGCTCCTGCCAACCTAGCAGTTCAAAAGCACGTCAAAGTGCAAGGAGATAAATAGGTACCGCTCTGGCGGGAAGGTAAACGCCGTTTCCGTGCGCTGCTCTGGTTCGCCAGAAGCGGCTTAGTCATGCTGGCTACATGCTGTACGCCGTCTCCCTCGGCCAGTAAAGCGAGATGAGCGCCGCAACCCCAGAGTTGGCCACGACTGGACCTAATGGTCAGGGGTCCCTTTACCTTTACCTAATTATTTGCATTACCTAGAGTTTGTACTACTGATGAAGCCCAAGACAGCGAAACAAGGCTAATATTCTGGAAATCCTTGTCTCAGACTCTGTGAAAGGATTCTGTGGAACTGCAACAACCTTTTGTGTGGATTGTTGGACTTTATGAACAGACAGGTGGAACACACTTTCACATATATGGTATGCATAAACTGATTAGAGAATGAACTGATCCACTGGGTCTTCTACTTTTTTCGTTGAACTTTATGAGTTCTGTTGAAATCTACAATTCAATACAATGAATAGTATATATTATTTTGTCAAACGTACAGCCAGTTACGTCTTGTGTGTTTATTGAATAGGTTTCACGTAACCATAGGTTTGTTGTTGTTTTGGTATTTCATCTATGGCACAGCATATTCAAGATTTGGATAATCATAGAATTGCAGAGTTGGAAGGGAATTGAATTTGAATTTATATGCCGGGCGGTTCACATAAAAAGACCACAGTATATAACATTAAAATAAAAGCAATAACCCAATAATATCCCCCCCCAAAAAAGAGCCACATTTTAAAAGGGTATGGGATGTTGATCAGGTCAATCAAAGTCCTGGTTAAAAAGGAACGTTTTTGCCTGGCGCCTAAAGGTGTATAATGAAGGCGTCAGGCGAACGTCCCTGGGGAGAGCATTGCACAGATGGGGAGCCACTGCAGAGAAGGCCCCGCTCTCATGTTGCCACCCTCCGGACCTCTCAAGCAGGCTGCACACGAAGGAGGCCCCCTGAAGATGATCTCAGGGTCCTCTAAGTGTCATCTAGTCCAACCCCCGGCAATGCAGGAATCTCAGCTAAAGCATCCATGACAGAGGGCCATACAGTGTCAATACAATGATTTGAGCAGAGCAGAAACGAGGCCTTTGCAAGGCCATCACGGTGCGTGAGTTCTGGGGGAGAACTGGGATCCATCCGCGGGTCTCATGGAGGCAACCTCTATCTACTGAGCCAAACCAATCTTCTCCCCCCAAAAAATCTCCCCATTTTGCAGAAGGGAAAACCAAGGTATTAGCACAGCCCACATTATAAACCCTCATGTTCTCATCCCCAACCTGGCCCACGAAAGCGATGGGGCTGTGGAAGGAGGGAGAGAGTTTGGTGGGTGGGTGGGGAACTAAATCCAGGAGATGGCAAAAAAAGGAAGAAATTATCCACTCCACCGGGGGCCTAACAAGTGAGTGACATTAATCTGGACGAGGACAGCTGGCAGTGTCTGACATCCTAGGCTGGCGTAGGGCAAAGCTGCCCGTCTTCGGCCTGCTTGACGCTACGGCTTGCAGGATCATGGCACCCCACAGGGATAGGGTGTTTTTTTGGTGGGGGTGGGGGTGTTAATATATTTTAAAGGTCACCTCTAGCAGGATGGAGGGAGGTCGGCCGAGTTGGCAGAGAGGCTTTAGTTAACTTGTGCATGAACACGCGAAGGGCAGTTCGACAGGGGAAAATGCTCAGTGCAGGCTCCGGAATTACATATTAATTGACCCAGGAGAACTGAATTAGAGCCAGGCCTCTCCGCACCCAAAAAACAAGGGAACTGGGCTACCTTCCTGTTTCGTATATTGATCCTGATAAGGAAGGCAAGGGAAAGCATGGAAATAAATTTGATTCCTTGTTTTTTTGCCTCTCTGTCCTTTTCTACACTGGGCACACTTTTTTAGGACACACTTCTAAAAAATAAATGTGCAGGGGCACTGTCACTAGAAGAGCCTTGGTTTAAAAAGATTCCAATATATGAGTTAATCCAGGTCCATGGGTGTAGCCAGGATTTATGGGGGTTGGGGGTTCAGCTAGGACAGCCCCACCTGTCATTATCCTCTGATTGGCTCTGCTAGCAGATTCGGAAAGAAACGGTTCTGAACCACCGTTGCTTAAAATCACTTTCTTCGGACCTCCAAGCGCTCAGAAATACCTGTCAAAATCTTCCTACAATGTCTACTTTTAGTTAAGCATTTTTTAATTATTTACTTGATTTAAGGGGGACGGCTGCCCCCCTCCCTGGGTTACTACACCCTGGAGAAGAACTGCAAATTCACCTAAGCTGTGCATTTCGAAGAAACAAATTGGTAAGGAGATTTATTTATTGGGGCGGCGGGGGGGGGGGGGAGAGAGAGCTCAATTCCCACAACAATTCCACTCTCAGACTATTGTTTCCCTCCCTTGATCATTGGCTATTGTATTCCAATGCCTATGGACTAGTAGCTTGATTTTTTTAAAAAGGAACTTTGGTAGTACTAGGGCTCAAACTCACCTGGAAGTCACACTTTCTCCAATCCATGTGGGATGTGTGGTGTGTGTGTGTGTGTGTGTGTGTGTGTGTGTAATGGCACCCAAACTTCAGAGGCTTCATGAGCGTAATGGGAAAAGCCCTCAAATAAATGATGAATCACACACCCCCACCGGTGCTCAATTTTTGCTGCTCTATCTGCTCTTTTTATATAGCAATTAAGTGCATCGATTCAAGGCTGTGCACTGCTCTGTCTTAACAGCTCAGAGTCTTTTAAATCGGACGGCTGGGTTTACCGATGGGCATAAACCTTTCGAAACGAGAGTTTAATATGCCTTTTAATTGCTGCGGGCGGCTAAGTATCTGTCTTAGTTTAACTAAGACGGGGTTGTTTGCACAGCCTGGTAAGCAAGGCGGCGAATTCCCAGAGAAGTTCTCTTTCCGTAGGCGTTGTGGTGAATTGTTTTCACTTTTTAAAAGTTATTTAAGAAAACGTCTAGCCTGTTCTTTATCAGAATAACTGAAATATACTCAGAGTCGCAAAGTGATTTCATGCTCTTTATTCAGCTCATAGTGGTGAGGAGGAATGAATGAAAGTCCCCTCAAAGTATCTGCTTTATATACATTATTTACACAATGGGCTGCACATGATTGGCTAATTCCGGAATTCTACTGTAAGCCAATCAGGTTGTGGATTCACTTCTATCTGGAGCATGATTGGGTAGTTCCTGCCAACCAATCATACTGCTGCATTGTTCTAGGACCAATCAGACTGCTGCATTCTGAATCCTATTGTTCTAGGACCAATCAGACTGCTGCCTTTTGGATCCTATTGTTCTAGGACCAATCAGACTGCTGCAGTTTGGATCCTATTCAACTCAGTACATAACAATAACCGTCTGCTAGGTTTGCCTTCTTTTTTTTTAGAGGGCAAGGAACCACCCAAAATGGTTGCCAGAGGGGCTGCTCCCTATGGCTGTAAAGGATTGAACTATTTGCCAAAATGACCCTCGCATTTTGGGAGTTTTCTCTCCCATCTATCATGGATGCTTCAGCTGAGATTCCTGCCTTGTTCCCTTCCGACTATACAATTCTACGATTCTATGCTAATTGGGGATATTCCTGAGGCGTTTTGGTGCCTAGGCCATAAAAACCCAAACGGGACCCCACACACACACACCTGCAACCCTGCAATTACTTAAAACAGCGGTCAGAAAACCTTTTCAGCCATGGGCCGGTCCATTGTCCCTCAGTGGGGGGCAGGACTATATTTTGGAGGGGGGAGGGAAATGAACGAATTCCAATGCCCCACAAATAACCCAGAGATGCATTTTAAATTTTTTTAAAAAACGACATTCTACTCATGCAAAAACACCAGGCAGCCCCACAAATAACCCAGAGATGCATTTTAAATAAAAGGACACATTCTACTCATGTAAAAACACGCTGATTCCCGGACTGTCCGCGGGCCAGATTTAGAAGGCGATTGGGCCAGATCCGGCCCCCGGGCCTCAGGTTATCTACCCATGACTTAAAACAGGGGTCAGCAAACTTTTTCAGCAGGGGGCCAGTCCACTGTCCCTCAGACCTAGTGGTTTGGCCGGACTATATTTTGAAGATGAAAAACCAAACAAATTCCTACGCCCCACAAATAACCCAGAGATGCGTTTTAAATAAAAGCACACATTTCTACTCATGCAAAAACACCAGGCAGGCCCCACAAATAACCCAGAGATGTGTTTTAAATAAAAGCACACATTCTACTCATAATAATATTATATACTAATAATTTATTATTTATACCCCACCCATCTGGCTGGGTTTCCCCAGCCACTCTGGGAGGCTTCCAACAAAGTATTAAAATACAGTCATGTAAAAACACGCTGATTTATGGACTGTCCGTGGGCCGGATTCAGAAGGCGATTGGGCCGGATCTGGCCCCCGGGCCTTAGGTTGCCTACCCATGACTTAAAATAAC